AAGAAGGAATTCGTCCCCGAATTTGAGTCATCTGTTAACTGCCCAACTTCATCGCAACAAAACTCCGAGTAATCAATCTGCTTGGTTTCTGAGATCTTCCTTGAACCTTATCTCTCTCAACAACTTTGACAGACACTGGCGACATTCTCTGAAATGCTTCAACTTGGCGATCCAAATTCTTCACTAACTGACAAGATGAATCCAATCTCGCTGAGGTCATGTGATGTTTGTTGAAAATTGAGCTCTGGCTCTCTCAAGATTTTTCCTTGAAACAAACTCCTAAAAATCTGGTAACTCTACTGATAAATCCAATCTGTAAGCAACTATTCCAATCTGTAAAGCAATTGCTCCAATCCGTTCCACTATGAAGTATGGTCTAATACATTTTGGTTTACGCTTCTTTAGCTTCCTGGTCTTATATCCTCTCTAAAATGTCCTTATTTTCAGGTGTACACGACCGCCTACCTGAAACTCCAAGTCCTTACTGTTCTTATCTTCATAACTCTTCTGACGGTCATGAGCTTCCTTATTCCAAAATTTGAGCATGTCCATTTTCTCTACTGTCTTTGGAACCATTAATAGTTCTACAACTCGCTGCTCCCCTACCTTTTTCTAAGCTTATCATGAAAAGCTTCATATGGGGTTATCCCTATACTTGAATAGTTGTTTTCAGTGTGCTAAAGTTAGAAGCTTCCCTAGCTTCTTTTCCACTTTAAGACGCAATCTGTGAACATATCCGTAATAGTCTGAATTGTCTTCTCTGACTGACCATTTGTCTCTAGATGATAAGTAATCTCAAATAGATTTTGGTTCCCAACGCCCCCTGAAAGACTTTCGAAAATGCAAACGTGAATCTTTTTCCTGGCCCGATACAATGCTCGCGAGGACTCCACACAATAACACAATCTCTCTAATGTGTGTCTGCGCCAATTGACCAGCTCCAACTGCCTTCAAAATTATTTGGAAAATAACTGATTTTGTAAATACATCCACAATTCCGTATATGATAATCTATCCACATGTGATGATCGACAATCCAGTAACAGCATCCATAATCACCAGGTTACGCTTCCACTCTGGCAAAATCAACTCAATAACAACCTGATAAGTACCCAGTCCTCAAACAAAACCATCCGACATTGCGACGCAAAGCTACAATCTTTCTCAAACTAGACCAATGATAGTAATACTTCATATCTTGTACTCCTAGGTGTTTCCCGGGTGAATAGAGAAACACGAGTGATGTGTTTTCTGAAAGATCCTTTTTCTTTACAGCTCAACGTCCAACACACCAACTCGATTCTTATACAAGAATATCCTGCTCCAAAACTTTATGATATACAACACTCCCAAACTCGATCCGCCTAGTCAAATCCATATGCTATCTTGAGATTGGTGTAATCTCCATAGTAAATGTGTATGTTCCAATGCTCTAATACCGATTGTATCCTCCTCTACTGAATTTCACATAATCTTAAGGCTTGTAAGCGTTCCAGTAACTCTTGATCCTTTGTGGTTTCTGACACATCGCTCATGTACCTATTTAAGGCATTTACCACTTGATTGGCCTCACCAAATGGCATTTTATATTCAGTTTGTAGACTGCTACCAACTCAATCCAACTACACGTCCTAAAGTACAAGTTTTAATGAGTGCACATATATTTCAGACTCTGATGATCCCAACGAATCTGAGCTTCCTTCCAACACAATGATGAACTCCAGAACTTTAAAGCCGATACAACTGCTGTTAACTCCAAATTGTGCACTGAATATCTGGCCTCGAAATATGCCCCAACTATCCACAACATAAATCTTAATAAACTTCCCATTTTGACATAATGGTAATAGGGACAACTTAATAACTTAAATTAGTTCCTTATTCGGTGGCTTTCTCCACTAAATATTTTAATCTGAAGTAAGCGACGACACAACGCATGCTGTAAATCTCTACTCGCATTCTATCCAAAAACTTTTTGATCTGAATGACACCTTTAACAAATCCTCAAGGTAAGTCTGTTAGGTCCAAAGTGGCTTAATCGTACTTTCTCCGACCACGCTAATGCATCTCCGCGTAGATACTTCATAGTCAAGATAAAAGGCAACTTTGGTGAACATTCCAAAAGTCTCTGATTTCCCTTCCAAAATTCTCCATATTCATAATCTACAAATTCTTCTATGCGTATGCAATGATCTGACCTTCTTATATTCAATACAAAATCTGCTAATGCTCATCTTACCTCTCTCTACTCTAACAATATTCAGGGTGTTGCCGATGAATACAACCACACACTTATCCAAGTGCTCGCAAAAGAATTTATCCATATGTTCCATGAATGCTATCCATGAATTCTTTAACCCACTAATATTATTTCCAACTCATGATATCCATCTTATATGTGAAACTGTAGTCTGTACATATTTTCCAGCTAGAGTAATCTTATGGTATTCTGAATCCAAGCCAATCTTCAAAAATGATGAATAAAAATGATAAATATGACTATAAATTTTGATTTGATTTCAGGTTTGGGATCTATTTGAGACTCTGGAATTCATAAATACCATTTTTCTCCATTGCTAAGGTGAGGGTCTACCTCCGAATTTCTCGTACGCGGCTTAGGATTTTAAATATATATATTTTGGTATAGCTTGGTATTCTGAATTTACATATATGATTCCCGGTCAAATTACGGAAAATGATTATTATAGCTTGGTATTCTGAATCCAAGTCAAGTCAACCCGCTGGTCAAAGATCAACCCGGTCAACTCTGACCCAAGTCGGTCAACCCTTGACCAGATTGAAATCAAATTGGACCAACCGGTTTTCCTTAGCCGGATTCGATTTCAATTGAACCGGATCCAAATTAATTACAAATCGATTTACTCTTAACCAAAATTCAATTGATTTTTAACCGCCAGTTTACCTTAACCAAATCACAATTAATTCAAACCGGATCAAACCAGTCAACCAACCAGTTTGTCGACTCAATCGAGTTGACTCGGCCGAGTTGACCGAGTGACCGGCAAGTCACTGTCGACGGTGGTCCGGTGGCAGAGCGGCGGCGAAGCACGGCGGTCTGGCGGTGGAGCACAGCGGCGGTCCGGCGACCGGCTACGGCGCATGAAACACATGCACGTGACGGTGAAACTTTAGGCCGCGCGTGTGGCTTCATCCAGCTTTCGATTGAGGCGTGGTCAGTGGTTACGGCTTGGTCTCGACGAGTAGAACACGGTGGTGGCCTTTCATGCGCGAGATTCTCAACGGTTAGGGAGATATGATCGATTTATTAAACGGACGAAACTCACTCAACTTCATTGCAGTTTCCTGATGGTTCAGGTGGATACAAACGGTGGTGACGAGCTTTGCCTGGTGTCGACAAGTGGTGGTCCCGACGTTGAGCTCCGGGGGCTCAAATACATGGGTTCCCTATCTTTTCCTCTCTCTCTCCCTCTTTCTTTCTTTCTCTTTCTTCTACTTTATCTCTAACTGTTTTGCAAACAAGAACTAGTAGGCTGAGGCCGAGTATTTATAGAGAAAATGGGATGTCTATGGGTTTTAGCCGGCTAACTAATTCCGAGACCGAAGTTGGGTCGTTACATCTTCCTTGCGTGAATGGTGTTTCTGACCTCCCTATCGATGCCCTGAAACACTGTGAAGGCAGGAACAGAAACTCAGTTATGAATCAGGTTGTTATGCTGCTTCCAAAGATGAAAAATGACGACTTGGGTGGCTAGTTTTCTGAGTAAAGTGGATGTGTTATTAGTTGGTACCTTTATATAAGCTTAGGAAAAAAGAAAAAGAAAAAGAGTTTGATAGATAAACCATTTCCTGTTAGTTTTTAAAGCCTGTGACTTCATGGTTTAAGTGCGAAACATTGATAGAATCACAAGGAACGATCCTTTCCACGATCCATAAAAATTCTACCGTTACCAATAGGTGACTTGCAACCAAAAGTGTGCACAAGTAAGGAAATAGTCTACCTGTTTATGAATAAAATAAATCATGAGATATGAAATGCAAATTTTCAAATCGCTCTCTCTTGATATCCTTGTTCTACTGAGTTTTTGGACCTTGTGTTTCTGTTCATAAATATCACTTTTTGATTGAATACTAAGAGGGTACTATCACACATTGTTAGGCAAAGAAGATCAGGGATAAATTCTACATCGGATCGAACTGAACCAAGTTTTAGACAACCCTTGGAAACAGACATGAGACATCAATCGTCCAGTCCTCCCCCAGTCAAATGCACATTTAGGAGGACTCTCAATTTCCGTAAGTTTTTATAATTTAATGCAAGCGTTCAAAGACCGACATCGTCCATGCACATGTACCCCATCACTGCCTACAAATAAACAAATGCTCTTTATCAATTAAATACCCATATTTTATATTTACATTTATCATTACGTGAAAGAAGGCATCTTATATCTGAAACAGAAGTATTTTTTGTCTTGAGTTTTTTTTTGAGCATGGATGTTATTTCCATCGCTCTATTGCTTAACGTGGAGAGTACCAAGTAAAATATTCCAATATAGGAAAGCGAATCACGGTATGTAAATATTTGACTTGGTAAGAAAATTGATGATACATTTTTGTCTTGACGACAAAGTAAAACTTCCAATATACACATGATAGTAATTAGAGAATATTTGAATAGTTTAAGAAATTCGATTTAAACTTTTTTTCTATAATGAATCCGGTTAACAAATTGGTTTGGGAGATTGTAATAAAAATTAAGAAATGAACCTTGAAATTTTCATTAATAATAATAAACAAAAAATAGTGGATCATTAAAATGATTCAGTGATTCTGTTTTTTGAAAAATGATTCAGTGAATAAAACTCGAAAAAATTAAAATGAACCGAACCTAGTTAAACTAACCAATAATTAAAAAAAAAAACCTTTCGAGTAGGATAAAATCTTAAAGAAGATTGATTACGAGCGCAATTAGGTATAATTAAGTAATATATAAAGTCGGCCGTCAACTTCAAACGGATAAGGCATTTCTGTGTCTTTAAAAATCTAATCAAAATCTTTTCTTTTTCCTTCATCACAAAGTTTCCCCAAAAAAATCTCACCGAACAATCTATCAAGAACAATGGGCGGAGGAAGAGTCATGGCGACGGCAGCGAAGGTGGCTGGGATCGGAGTAGCCAAAGGTGGATTCAGGGGAGGACTCGGAGTCCCCGGCGCGGCGGCGAACGATCAGTTCATCGTGAGGAACACCTCAGCGTCTAAGCCGGTTTCGGCTTCGATCTCATCGGTGGTCCATCCTTCCGCGGAAGAAGACGCGGTGGTTATGCGCAAACCGGTTTGGGAAGACGAGTGGGAGTTCGCGGAGGTGGAGACGAAGACGATTCCTAGGGTTGTTTTCGATAAGGCTCCCTCTCTCCAGGAGGCTAAAGAAGCCACCGATGATCTCAAAGATGCACTCAACATGTAAGATTTAATTCGATTTATCTCTAAGTTTGAGTCTCAAAATCGAATTAAGAGCTTTGTAGTTTACAATTGACTTAATTCGAGTAATCTTGATTGATTTTCTCGGTTTATTTTTATGTTCTTGCATCCATGTGTGTGTTTTTATATACATCGAAACAAGTTCTTCGTATGTTTGGTTATTACATCATCTTGTGCTTCTGTTTTGGTTCTTGTGTTTGTTTTAATGGATTATCCAACTCTTAATCATAAAATGTTAAAGTAACGTGTTAGGATTTATGTTCTTACATAGTTACATCCATGGGTTAAACTAGTTACATACATCGAAACATGTTCTTAGGTTAGGTTCTTGTTTTTAGTAATGGAGTGTGTTAGTGAAATGTTTAATTTGATTGATGTTCTTACAGTCTACGTGTGTTTAACTAGTTACATTTACATTCATAGAAACATGTTTTTGGTTCTTGTTTTTTTTGGGTCATGGAGTGTGTTATTGAAATTGAAGTCTGTATCTTTGAAACGTTTAGTTTGATTTGTTTTCTTTACAACCTATTTGTGTACAACGTCGAAAAGTATATTCTTATGTTTGGTTCTTGTTTTTGTATTGGTTATCGAACGTGTGTTAGGGCGTATATGGAAGGGTCAAATGAGGTTGGTTCTGTTTCGAGAATGTTTTCAAGCTTTCAACCTTCTGAGAACAGAGCTGTTGAATCAGCTGTTCCACAGGTTGCTCTTAAGGCTTTTGCTTTCCTCAGTGAAAACACAGCTGCGCAGGTATATTCATCTTTCCTCCTCCTCGCTTTTATCAGTTCGAATTGCTTTGGTTAAAGCTTCACTGGTGCTGTCTGAGTCTTGAGAGTCTGATCATTTCCTTTTTTTTTTACAGTCTGTTGTTGCTTCCATTGCGTCTGACCCAAAGGTGTGGGATGCTGTAATGGAAAACAAGGATCTCATGAAATTCCTCGAGACCAACAGTAAGAACTTAGTAAATTTTGTTTGGTGTTTTATCCTCTAAATGATAAAGGAATGTCAAAATAAACATTTTCATTTTTTCTCTTTGCAGCTGCTTCAACTCAGGTTGAAGCTGACAATGACGACAAATCTGAACTTTCAAGCGAGACTGAAAGTGAAGAAGACAGTGAAGCAAAGCCAATCCAACTCATGGAGATTCTGCGGGACATGAAGCTGAGAGCTGTTGAGATGATGGAAAATGTGTCTTCATACTTCGGTGGTTTGTTCAGGACAGAGTCTTTTTCAGAGGGTGGACAAGAGAGGAAGAGGATGTTGCTCAACGACCCTACTACTCTCTTTGGATTAGCTGTTTGCGTTATTTTCATGGTAGTTCTGAAACGTGCTTAAGAAGATCCCGTTTCTTTAAAATCTGCCGATATAGCTTAAAACAAAATAACTACTATGTTCTCTTTCTGCTACTTCATTATGGTTTTTTAGTCTTTTAAAAGTGTTTTTTTTTTTTCTTATGTTTGGAATGGTTTGGAACTTGTCTTTGATATTTCATAAATAAAACTATGCTTTGGATGTATCATATATATATATATATATGTATTGCAATATATGTAGCTATCTTCATCTAAAACAAATTTGTAATATAGAATAATATGGTGGTTATGGCTAGAAAACACATTGTTTCGGCTATTCTGGTTTCTACTCTTATATAAAGCTTGTTGAGTTTGCCGGGTTTGAGGAAGATGCATTGGCTCTTTGCCCTGAACAGAGAATCCTCTCAATGTTAACAGAGCTCTAGTGAGGGTGTTGAATCAGCTAATCCGCGAATTGCTGATTTGCAGGCATTTGCTTTTCCGAGTGAAAACGACAAAAGGGGACCTTAACTAATCTTACCAGCTCCGTGTATTGGATGAAAGCATTGAAAGGTGTGTTGGGTGTTGTTCTTGTAAGTTCAATGTACGCCTTAATCTGCTTGCAAGAAAGATCCATAATTTGCTGAGATACGGTTCTCTCTCAAGGGATAGTTCTGAGCAATAATAATGTTTTGTTTACATTGTTAGCTGATATTTGATACTTGGATCTTTCATCCGTATGAATCAATCTTTCCAACGTGGAGTAAACTACAACAAACCAAATACAAGTTAGTAAACTGACGTAACAAAAATTGGCAACAGATACATGAAAATGTACTACTTTGTCAGTTGTCACAAAGACACTGTCTTTGTGTTTGTGCAGTGGAAATGCATGTCTCCTTCACAGACTTACTACCACCTCAAAACATACGCAAGTTGTTTAGAACTGAGTCAGAGTCTTGCATTATCGTTCAGCAAAAGGGTAATCTCGTTCCTACTTACTGCTACCAGTGGTGTCCTCTTTGCTATTAGGCTGGCTTAAACGACATCGTTTTCGGTATTCTTGTTCTTATTCGCTATATTAATAGTGTCCTCATTTGTTTAAACGACATCGTTCATATCGGAAATTCTTGTGTGCTACAGTACATTGCCAACGGTTTGCTTAAACTAATAAGTCGTTTTCGAATATTCTTGTTCGCACGATTTCTGTTTCAAGGAGTTTGTCGGATCGGAATGGCGGAAAGATGCGGTGGCGCTTGCCGTGGGCTTATCGAGTGGGTAAGATCTTGACATCAATCACTTGTTTAAAAGCAAACACATTTTGCTTTGATTTCAATATAAAAAAAAATTATCAATTAATTTTTGATTTTGCTATATTTCTGCTTCAATCATCGTCTCACATTGTTAACAAATCCTGAACCAAAAAAATTAAGCTTTTTTTCTTTTTGTATGAACAATCCTTATATATATTCCTTTCCTGTCTTTAACCTCTCATTTCTCCTGGAGAAGCTTGTCGGAATCTGACGAATCAGAGCTAAGACCAACCCGTTCCGAATCAAGCAATGTCCGAAACCATCGAGCCGAGGCTTTAGGAACCCTTGTGAGGTTGTTCTTATAATCCACATAGTATATCCCGAACCGGACAGTGTAACCAGAGTTCCACTCCCAGTTGTCTAGCAATGACCACACAAAGTATCCTCTTACATCACAACCATCCTTCCTGCAAATTCACTTTAAATCTTCATTTCCTCAGGTTTGAAGTTTTATTTAGTTAATTTCTTTTTTTATTACCTAATGGCAGCTGATAAGTTTGAGAGGTAGTCTCTGTGGAAGCTAATCCTCTTGTCGTCTTGTAATGCTTTCTCCATGTCTATGAATGGGTTGTTCTTCTCATCCATACCTACATTCACTTTCTTTGCTGAAGATCTTTCTTTTTTTCTGAAAAATCTATAAGAATTGAGGATACTTTTACCGTTTTCTGTGATGAAGACAGGTGGGTTTCCATAGACGTCTTTGAGGTACACTGCTAGTTTCCTGATTCCCCATGGGACTATGTGTAGCCAGCTTGATCCTGCCTGATTTCAAAGTAAAGTTTCTCTTCATCAGATTATTGCTTTGTAATGAAGGAGTAGTAGTAGTGTTCATCTTCGGTTTTATCAGAGAGATACATACTTTATCTCCTATAGGTACTCCTCCTCGAAAAGCTACAACAGTTTGAGAGAGGAAACAATAGAGTAGAAACATCAGTCTACTTCTTCCTTTTTTTCTATAGCAGTAATGAGATCTGACATGAAAACTAGTGTGTGTGTGTGTGTGTCTTGTCCTTACAGGTTGTGATCACTGCTGCATCAGAAGAAGCATCTTGTAGAATCAATTTCCTTATCCTTGTTCTGTCGTTCCTCGCGTATAATGTCGTGTAGTGGTTGATTCCAAAGAAATCAAATGCCCCTTTTATGGTTTTAGACGTCTCTGGTGTTATCTTTGGTAGTCTTTCTTCCACTAGTCTCTTCATCGAGGCTGGATAGTCTCCATTTATTAAAGGATCCATAAACCTATGTTTTAATCTCATTTTGTTACTTCAGTTTCTCTTTTATTTACTATTTTTAATGCAAATTTTATCTTAAATTACCATCCAATCCCAAAATCCATCGCTCTACGAGCTGCATCTCTGTCCTCATCATTATCAGACATTGGCTCAAACCATTTCGCATCTAACGACATCCCGATTCGACCACCTTGTTTCTTCTGCATTTTTTTACATTTCCCACATTGTACTCTGGACCTAAGTATCATAACATGTTCATTTTCTGTATTCTTACCTTGAAGTGTTTCTGGTAGGTGCGGTAAGCAGCAGCATGAGACAAGAGAATGTTATGAGCTACAACATACGGTTCCACCGATGACTTCCCCTCCTTACAGAACCAATGTCCGAGAAGTGAGCACCTCCCTGGAGCTTGTATCCCCGTGTCATAGCCTTGGATCGTTAACCCACGTGGCTCGTTGAAAGTGATCCAGTACTTCACCCTATCTCCGAATGCTTTGAAACAGGTGAATGCATAACGCTCGAAGTCATCCCTGCAAACTTTTTTTGTAAGCTTTTTTTTTTTGTCAAGATTTTCACATTTTCATCCAAAGAACAAACATATTCTTACACGACTTCAATGCCTAGCCATCCGTCATATTTGTCTTCTAAAGCTTGTGGGAGATCCCAGTGATACAATGTCACATAAGGTTTGATTCCCTTGGCTAAAAGCGCGTCTATGAGACTGTTGTAGTACTTAAGTCCATCTGGGTTTACTTCCCCTGTTCCATCTGTTGACACGGTCGAAGCTCAGTAATCCATTAATATTATTAGTACAGATTAATGAATAAGAGACTTACTAGGGAATATTCTTGTCCAAGATATAGAGAATCTGTAAGCGTCCATTCCCAGATCTTTCATAAGGTCTATATCACTCTGTGAAGCAAAAAAGAAAAAAAAGATATTGAGAAAAAGTATAAGGTTCTTGCTTTTAGATTCTCTAATTTATTTTCATGTGGCATCTTTATCTCAGTTTTGTTTGGATGAGGTTGCTCTATAGAGAAGCAACCTTACTTTTTATCTTCAAGTATAAGTCAACTAATGTTTCCAGTTTAGGTAGAACGTACATGGAATCTATGATATTGATCAACCGTTGTATCTGCATTGCTGAAATCCAGTATCTTTCCTGTTGATCAAGAACAAATTAACAGTGGATATTTCTGGGTTCTCTGTAACTTTTTGTTTCTGTACAGACCTGGTTTCTTGGTGAAAGTGTCCCATATGCTTTCTCCTTTGTTTCCTTCATTCACAGCTCCTTCAAACTGGTTTCTTGCAAGAAAGTGTTTTCAGTTTTATCAAAATCTTTATCTTTCTTAGATCAGTTTATAGAAATAAGGAGAAGAATGTTACCTGGTAAGCTGAAGAAGCTGTCCCAAATACAAACCCATCTGGAAAACTCTCTCTGGTAATAGATTCTGATGAAACCTGCTGACGAGACGCGAAGAAGAACAGATACAGAGCCAGGACCAGTCTCATGAAAGATTCCATTTATTTTGGCTCGCATGAATAAAAGAGCAAAGAGATAGCGAGACAGAGAGAAGATATAGGAGTGAAATTGTTTGGTAAAGGAAAGATTTGGAGGCAAGAAAGTGAGAGTTTTTATGTGCAAAGCAAAAGGCTATTCTTTGGTGTTGACATTTGTGTTTCCCTCTTCTTATATTGTACACGTTGCTTTTACTTCTTCTGCCAAATACTATAAAGTGTACTCTAGAATGAATATAAGTTTGTTAGTGAGACATTGATTCACTTAAATAAATTCCTTTTTTTTATTATTTTCGTGCAAGGGATTGATGATCTTGTTATTTTAGTAACTCCAACTACAAGATAATCAAATTGAAAAACAAAAAACCTAATTTATTTTTAGTTGAGTGCATAAATAAATAGAGAGAAAACAGTGCGAAGGGAAAATACTAGAAAACTAATGTAGGACTTTACAGCATGTCAGCAACCATAAACACTTATCTATATGTTGATATCTTTGCTTTTATGCACATTTTATTTTCTCCATCGGTTTCATATTAAATGTTGTTTCAGTTTTTTTTAGAATTTGTCTCACGAACAAAAATAAAATTCATTTTTTTTATTTTCTTTTCAAATAAATTTTTATGTTTCTTCTCTTATTTCTTCTAAAATTCATCTAATTTTTAATTACTTATTTTCTCAATATTTTTAATACACATCAAAAAAGATAATCTAATATATGTAATCTCCTATATATTAAAAGAAAATCATTTAAAAAGTTGTAACCTTAAATTTGTAATATTTAAAAATAACCTCAATCCTATGTTGCATAACTCTTTGTCTTCTATTTCAATTTAGAAGGATTATAGAGCATGTAATATAGTGTATAGTTTAAAAATTATACTCTCTAGCAATATAATATTTCGTAGGCTATAGTTGATCGCATATATTAAATATTTTTTGTTTCGCATACTTTCCTTAAATAAAACATACGAAATTACCTAATGTGACTAAAATATATATATATGATAATTAATGATTTCAAACAATAAAGATTTGATAACAATCTGTATACTTTTATCATTTTTTTATTTCATTATTATTAAAATAAATTACACAACTACATTTATCATATAATAAAAATCTAGATTTTTTTGTGTATGTTGTATTTCGAATTTTTCAAAATGAGTATAAATTACTAAAATTGTTAAAAGTCTCACATAAACTTTTAAGATCAAAGTTTTAATTTTTGTACTATATTAAAATATAATGATTATAAGACCATAGGAAGAAATAATTTTAGTTTATATATATTTCATATCGTTTAAATTAAACTATACATCGTATAAAAATACATACTTATATTTTGATATTTACATTGAACAAATATTGAAAATTTAAAATTTTAATTTTGAAATATGTCATTGTTTTTTTTAAAATGATTATAAATTATGGAAACTACTAAACATCTCACATTAAAAAAAAATTGTTGGTATAAAGTTTTGTTACACAAATATGCAAATAATCGTAAAATCATATGAGTAGAAACCTCATTTAATAAATATTCATATTAAAAGTTTGCTATATTACTATGTTTATATCATTTAAATTTCATTATATATCATATACAATATATAAGATTGATTATTTTAATTTATTTACCCTAATTGCGAATAAACAAAAGTGATATTTAATTTATCTGCATACACCAATTTATTACATAATGGTAACGGATTTCTTAGTTATTTAATATATCTATTTATTACTTTATTATTTTATAATATGCAGAAAAATATAAAATAAATAATAAATAGAAAATACTTATTGTGTATAAAGTGCATATCTTAACCTAAGTATGTATCTCTTTAATTATTTTAAATCTTAAATATTTTCTAAATCCCAGGTCAAAACAAACAAACGAAATGAGAATAAAGTCAAAAATAAATATTTATATAGAATAATAACCAAAAAAAAAATACAACAAGAGAAAAAATTGAAGATAAATAGGATTGACACGTGAACGTAAACTTCTCATAACCATAATTAATTTTTAAACTGTCAAATTATGATATAAACTGAGTTAATTTATAAATTTTTAAATTTTTAAAATTTAATTTTTTAAATCATTATGGTTATGTTAAATCATGACCATAATTAATTTTAAGTTGTTTACTTGTATTTGAAAAACTTAAAATATTGTTTTAAAAATAATTTAAAATTAATTTAATTTTTTATAAAATTATTATTACAAAAAATAATTTGTAAAAAAAAATATAATTTGCTAATTTTATTAGAAAAATAATTAAAACTATATTAAATTAGTTTTGAAACTTTATATATTTTAAATGCAAATATTTTATCAACTGCTTCTTAAGAAAACATTATGAAACTTGCTAATACTCTACCAATCAAGCCCAGTGACATTCCGTTTATTTTCCATCACTCGAACACTGAAAAGTGAAAATATATATGAAATCGAGTCCATTAAATTCTAAGCTTTGATCTACAGTTCTAATTAAAATTGTTTTTGATTCTACATATAGATAATTATATAAAAATTCTAAAATTCTAAAATTTTAAATACGTATAAAAACAATCATATGTAAATTTTAAATTTGTCAATACTAAAATTTTATATTTTAGTTACATACATTCACCCTGCGCAAGACGCATGTATTATCCTAGTTTAGAATTAAAGTTAAAGAAAGGAGATTAAGCCCAACAAATCACCCATTAGGATAGATATGGCAATCCATTTATCACTAATTGGTTTTAGGTAAATTTTCCCACTTCAGATGTTGAAAGAGAGCTAAGAGGGTCGACACGAGAGAGGAAGTGCTATTAGAATCAAACTGGAGCAGCATACATATGATTGTGAACTACATCATTTAGATGTAGAAGCTCACAGGTAGTAATCATAGATGGTACAGAATCAGAGACACACGATTCAAATATCATGTCACCAAAATAATCCTTGTTAGGGTCTTGTGAGGAAGCCACAACCAACTGGTTTCTGCATCAGTATGAAGAAGGATTGCGAGATTGCTTGTAGGAGGAACATCAATATGTTGTTCCTGATCACTCCAGTCCTCTTCCTTAAACGGAGCTCCATATTGAGCTTTGTTTCTAGGTCCTAGTCCATCTTTCTTTAATAGAACACACAGAAAAAAGTATTATCATGAATATTCTTCTGAATTAGTACCTTGTCTTCAAGCATGTATGCGTACTAACCCAATAAGTCCACTCCCCACAAGGTGACTTACCAACGTGATAAACCAGATTCTTAATCTCTCCACAAGTTCTGATTTTTCTTTCACACCACTATCTCTCGCTCGCTTCCTCCTTGTTTGGTCGTCCTTTCCACCATTGAGTACTTCTCTTAACAGTGAGATTTTTTAAGCTATAATTTCATATTTCGTATGGTAAATTGTTAAAATTATATATTATATATGTGTAAATTTGTATTTACATATTTTGTTTAATGTAATGTTATGATTGATTAGATATATACAAACTATTCTTAATAAATTACTAGGGTAAATCCTTTGTACGGGTGAGTAAGTAAATTAAAAAGTAATAGAAAAATATCTAATATTTTATATATGTTTTATAATATTTAGTTTAGTCTCAGTTTAAAATGATATTAATAAACATACACTATTTTGTTTATTCTTAGAAATCATATGTTCATCTAACGAATAAGAAAATATCAGTTGTAGTTCTGTAATTATGTTACATTTTTAAACTATTTGGCTGATACACTCAGTTAGCCTCTAGGGAACAGAACAGAACCAAATGACATAATAATTTTGCTTGGAACGTAAAGTTTAGTAAGTGAAGAGTCTTGTGTTATTGTCACCATATAACCCGAAGTGATGCAAACACATATCTTATACGGAACATGAGAAATAAAATCATATTCAAAATCCCTAGAAGCTAACTGAGTATACCTGCCAACCAGCTTCTATGCTGTTACGAACATGTCCGGATGAGCCACCGATAAGTTAAACTTGATCTGCAGCTGTATCTTTGGCTCCCACACATTTATCATCGCTTTAGCTCCATAGTACTTATAATCCATTTCATATAAGCTATGTCATGTTACAATTCAATAAACCAAAAAGAAAAAGAAATACAACTCATATAAAGAAACCAAAAAAAATAAAAATAACTTTGACTCACCTGGTGACCACTTTGGTTGATGAGGTCAGGTTGTACATATTTAGGAAACTGGACAGTTCTATGCTTTTTCTCGCTATATCTTTTAACTGAACTTGCTCTCAAGATAGCATCTTACTTTGTCCTCCTCGTGGGAATGAATCCTTTGGCATAATTTCTCATATCTATGCCATTACTATGGGATAAGTATGTACTTCTCTTTCTGATTTCGTAGAAGACACTTGGTTATCATCAAAGAGTCCATCATAATGGTAATTAGGCTTCATCTAAAGAAAAAAGAACGTAAATAAAGTAAACAAAACATCAACACTTAAAACATAAAATACAAAGCCCAAATAAAATCTAAGTAAGAGTTGTATCTATGTATCTGAATCTTGTGATCTTTGAGGTAGTGATGATCAGAAGCTAGTTGCTTTGTGATAGGAACACAATCAATTATATGACCATCCGGGCTTATTAATGACATCCAAAGTTATAAACTTTCATCAGACAAATCATATCATCTTTTTTTTAGAAATCTCGATACAATGTTTTACTGTTTGTTCAATTTGAACATAATAAATGGAGTCAAAAAGTAAAAAACAATCACCATGTGTAGTGGAGTATGAGAGAGAAATCATGAATCATCAGATTATGATACTTACCAAAGTCTATCAAAATAGAAAAATACTTGCAACGAAGAAGACAATAGATTTATCCTATTTGAACGATTTTTACGAGATGTTTGGTGAGACTGTTCATGTGCTTCTTAACTTCAAAATCCTGGTTAGATACGCCGAACCTTGCGGCGTAGGATAGCAAGAAGAAACCCCACAGCCATAAACACAGTAAGAAACCTCTGGTTAACTTCGCGCTTCTAAAATTCATCCATAATATTTTTAATCATCTTCAAATTTGGAAAGTTTAAAACTCTGCAAGCAATTGGAAGATAATCACGTATTTGTTTGTCAAAATTTTTACAACGCCGCAGATTTTGAATAAGTGAGGAGGAGAGAGAAGAACTAGCCATACTAATTTGTATAATATTTTGGATTAATATGATTGTGAGGATTTGAATGATGAATTTGATGGAGGCCAACTCACCTATTTATAGCAGCAGATTCAGAGAGCCGAAGAGAGTAGAGGATATATTGAATGAAAAAATTTGGAAGTAGTGGGGACATGGAGTTACAATGTTAATGACTACTTTAACATAACCAATTAGATTTTGACCCGCCCTTCGAAAGGGCGGGTATTGTTGTAAGTTTGACTTGAAAAACTAAATTTTTAATTTTAATTTTGGTAACTATATTAAATATGCTAAGTTGCATAACTATACATTTACGTCATATGAATTTCAAAAATTATTTTAAAGTTTGTAAGATATTATATTTTCATAAAAGTTATCTAACTATAACAGTTCTAGTTGTTGACAGAAAGGTAACGGTTTATATTAACTAATTTGCAGGAAGAAAGATAAATGACCAATTGATAAATGATAATTAGTCCAACAATTTTTATCAATTTGGTGACCTACTTAAAAATAACCAAATCTTTTATAATTTCACCTGAATATATCAAGACTATAACCATGTTCAACATTTGAATGATATATTTCAATAATATAATCAGTTATGTCCTACATATTAGTTAACATAAACAGTTATCTTTAAAATTGACATGTATAGTTACCAAAAATTATATTAAATTAAATTAATATTGAACATAAATAGGATTGAAAAATATGATATTAAAATTAAATTTTTCAAAAAAAAGAAAAATATACCCGCTCTTTGAAATGATGGGTCAGAATCTAGTATATAGATAAAACTATTTATTTTCATCATAAAAATTTGTGAAAATAATATTAATTACTTTCTCTCCATAGATTTATTTTTATAGAAGTGTAAAAGGTATATCTTTGTGCCATACATGATAGTTGTGAAGTTTTAATTCTTATATTTTTTATAATTTAGTTGTATATATAAATGATTTAAATAGAATTATTACACATAATAATTGGTCACAAAAATTTCTCAAAAAATTAAAACAAAAATACACTCACCGTTTGAAAGGGCGAATCAAAATCTAGTATTTAGATAAATTATATGTTTTATGTTAAAAGATTGTGAAAATAATATTATTTACTTTTCTCTCAGTAGATTTAATGATGTGTAAATCGTGTATATTTGTGCCATACATGATAGTTGTGAATTTTTAAGTCTTATATGATTTATATGATTTTATGATTATTTGTATCATGTTATAAGAAAAATTTAAATCATTAAAAGAACAGGTCAGAATTTAGTATTTAGATAAAATTATATGTTTTACATTATAAAATTTGTGAAATATTAGTATTTACTTTTTTCTCAATAGATTTATTTATTTAGAAATGTAGAAAAGTATTTATTTGTGCCATACATGATAGTTTTGAAGTTTTAAGTCTTATCTATTTTTTCATGATTTAGTTTTATATATAAATGATTTACAGAAAGTGATTACACATAATTATTCTTCATAAATTAAAAATGGGTTACAAAAGATTTGATCCGATGTAATTGATTAATTGAAAAGACCCACAAAGTTATTGCAAAATTTTTAAGTTAATGGGTCTCGTTCAAGGAGATTCTGTGGGCATTTTAAATTTAAAGCCTTTCACCGGTTTGCACGGGAATGTAACTGATAAATTGATCGTGGTTTGGTTTGCAGTTTAATTAAATTAGATATAATTATACATTCTAATTAGTCAATAGATAAATAGATGGTTGGACACAACCTTTATCAATAGGTCACACTGCTGTTTTAATAGAATAGATTTTCTACATGTAAGAAGAATTTCAAGCGTTTCAACACGGACCTAACAATTTAGTTATTCAAGCGGCTTCCACAAGATATTAGTCAGAGGTAATCCATCCACATAACCCAACCGGCACTTTAAAGCCGGTGGAAAAACAATCGTTCAACTCCGGCGGCAACCCTAAAGAGATGGTCATCGACAATGTTGAAAATTAATACAATGGTGACGGATTCAATAATGTATCAGAAGCCCACTTAACAAATTTCTAGATCCAATAAATAAATATACAATAGACATCAACGGAAAATGATGAAATTAGACAGACGTCACTATCTTCGTACCTTATTTGCTGTACATACCTTAATAAGGAGTGAGACAAATTGTATTTTAGATATAAAAATTATGGTATATGATTATGGGACATGCATTTCTATGTATTATTTGATATATACATATATATATTATTTTTTTATATTTATATTATATATGATAATTTATACTTATATAAGTGAAATTGTTTGTAACTATATGAAAAAAAGTTAAATATCATCATAGTCATAAAACATAAACTCTTATACAACATGTAGAATCTAGTATATATGTATATATAGTTAGTAATTAAGTAGTAAGCACATAACGTGAATACACTTTAATTAAATATAATTAATTAGATGAAACAATATCAGGTAGTTGAAAAAGTAAAATGCAACATGGTATGGTATCAACTATCAAGTAAGTTAGGTCTAAATAAGACACTAGTTTAATAGATTAGATTTGTCTAAAACCGAAAGCGCATGGTTAACTTTCGGGTTACAATGGTAAATTTGAGCTGGTATAAGGGTAAGATCGTCATTTCACGTTTTTTATTCCATTTCCATGTCTCGGGGCCTTCTCTCACTGCAAAAACCCTTAAGACTTGGCAGAATCAATTGGTTGGTTGATCGGCTTTTGGTTAGGGTTTTAGCTCCCAAAAGTTGAACCGGAGAAGAGATCATCAGTACGATCAATTGAATCCATGGCGATGGCTATGAGACTCCCTGCGATAGCGAGAGCTGCGACGGAAAGGGCTTCGGCTCCCGTTGGATTGAGGCGTCTCTTCTGTTCAAACCCTACAAAGTTTTCATTCCTTTCTCCTCAACCCAACTCCGAAACTCCGGCTCGTCCTCAGGCTGAACCCAGCACCAATCTCTTCGTCTCCGGTAAGACACCTCTCTCTCGTCGCTCGTAGCTATTTGATGCTTAAAATTGATTTAATATACGAACAGAGCAATGATGAATCACTTTAGTGAAGTCCTCTGCTTGGTTTTAAAATTGAGAGTTTATTTGTGTGGTTTCTCAATCACTAAGCATGTTGTGAAATAGAGCTTCTTTGCAGTTTCTTTCTTGATCATTTATCTTCTAAAATTAAACATCTGATGAGAAATGTAGAATAATAGTATATGCTTCTGTCTGTCTGTCTGTGTGTATCAGATGCTTTGTTTCTGTGGCCTGCTGAAAGGTCTTGTCTTTGTCAACTTTTTGCTACTATCAACGAGTTTGTATAGACCACATCTCCGTATTTACATGTTACATAAATCTGATTACTATCTTTGTGTGGAACTAAGAGTTCTGTTCTGATACTCTATCTCAGTTTTTTTTTATTTTCTTTGTCTATAAAGCTAAAAATTTGGAACGTAAAGGAATCATTTTTGTTTCTCAGGGCTTAGTAAGCGCACCACTTCTGAAGGACTTAGGACTGCTTTCGCTCAGTTTGGAGAAGTTGCTGATGGTATTAGTAGATAAACTTTTTTATTACCCTATCAAAGCTTGTTGAATTGAGAATTAACTGTAACGATTCCTTTTTTGTCTCAAATATGGTTTATATTAGCCAAGGTTGTCACAGACAGAGTCTCAGGATACTCCAAAGGGTTTGGATTTGTTCGTTATACCACCTTAGAAGATTCTGCTAAAGGCATTGCTGGAATGGATGGCAAGGTAATTAATGATACATTCATTCTAGTAATTTTAAAAAACGCATTTCTAATAGTCTTCTCTGCGTGCTTCTCTGCAGTTTCTTGATGGTTGGGTCATATTCGCTGAGTATGCGAGACCAAGAGAGCAATATCGACCTCACAACAACAACAACATGCATCCCCCCCCTCCATATGGTAATCGCTATTGAAACAAGCCCTCTCATGGTATACTCAAACATTTGTTCTGGATCAAGCACTATATTACTGTTACTGTTTATCTACTATGATTGAACTGTCTCTTCTCCCTAGTGTCTTGTACCTTGGTTGAATTCAGAAACTTTAGATTTTATACTTCGAGTCTTTACCACAAACTGTCATTTGTAAGACAAGTAGTATCATCTCTCTGACTATTTATACCTCAGTAGGTCAAAAACGTCTCGTTTTTGGTTACTTGTGGTTCTAATTGGTTAACCCTAACCGAAATTATCATATATAGGCCGGTTTAAAAAAAAGATTGATTGCTCTATGGTGGAGTCATGGAAGACTCAGATCCGGTTCGGTCTGTTGATTTTCTATGTACCATATTCTTTTAATATGTTCCTCAATGAAACAAACAAAATTTTGAGTTAATTTGGTTCGTATTTTTAGATTTTGAAATATTATTTTTGTGAACCAAAAAACTTCGAACCCCAATCTGATAGAACATTTTCATAAGACCCATGGGTCCGTAGGCATTAGCCAATCATTAACTCACAATTTGTTAGAGATGATTGAATATTTTCATAAAGCAACCATTATGATGATATTAACAAACTGCAACCATTATGGTGAAGGGTGATTGTAGCAAATGGGAATAAGTCATTGGGCCACAACATTGAGCTCTCAATATTTTCACGTGGAGATGTCTTGCATCTACACGAACATTTCATAACATGTGGACTGAACAAAATAACAAAGAAAACAAATATCAAAAATACTAATGGCGTACATAAGTTTATGCAATAAATGTCACAAAGACAAAAAAGGAAACAAAACAAAAGAGATACCGTTCATACTATAACATTCTTTTGCTGTCCAATTACGTTTGGTGAGACGATTCCCTCTTTCTCATGCAACCATTTCTATTTTACAGCTCACCATGTTACTTCAAGATCAAACGAGACCCATTATTTTCTCTCTTAGGTCTATTTCAGCTAGAATTTTTGGAGTGTACTTGGTTTATTTATGTTGATTGTGATATATAATGTTGTTTGATTCCCTAATCCTTAGACACAAACGTTAGTTATAATTAGAGTGTCGACCTCAACGTGTACAAATTGCCTTTGTTTCCAAGTTTAAGGAGTACTGTGCACACAAGTCAACTATAACTGCATAATAACACAAATTGGAGAACGTTTTTAATCAAGTTCATTAATTTTCGTCGACGTTGATCTTACCATTCTCTCTTGTTTTTCTCGTTAAAGTAAAGCTAAGACGTAATCCTAACCATATATGATGTTAAGAGAAGTTTCGATAAACTCACGTGTCCTCGCTTAGGTTCTTGTTTTAGTTGATACGTGTGGGCTAGGATTAAAGACTTTAGTATCAGTGTTCTATACGAGTACATTGGCACGTGATATCTAACAAGTAGTAACATAATTAACTGATAGCCCTTTAATTTCTCAAAAAAGAAAAACATAACTAACTGATTAAATTCCATTATTTATGCAAAGTATGCTACTATAAAGTCGTCGAATTAATAACAAAATGAGAGCATGCATTTTGTATTATTTAATCAATACAAAGTACAAACAAATTAGGAGGAGATGAGTGAGTCATCGTCGTTTTGGTTGCGCCGCATGTGTGATTACTTTCAGACGTGACAGCATTTCGGATAAGTCGTTCTATGTGGTTGAATTAGGATTTAAATGTAGTTGGTTTCGCTTCATGTATCAGCAATTGAAGAAAAAGATATGAATCTGATCCATTTAATGATCCGTTTCACATACTTATAGTTGGACCGTTTCAATTTTCTATATCGTCAGAAGATGTGAAGATAAACTGATCCATTTAATGTAGTTCTTATCTACAAAAGTTTAAATTTAAGTTATAAGGTTAATTGCCACGTATAGTAAACACATGTATATACACATTAGTATATACTATTGTATCATCATATCATCAAATATGAGTCATAGACTCATACGACGTACTTGATGATAGTGATAACTGTGATATTGAATTTAAATAATCTTAGTAAAAATAATGTTTGCTGTGGCTTCATCAATTCCCCTAGTTGCAATGTCTCCTAATGATTAAAAGTGAAACTGGCCAGCGAGAAACGACATGCACAGTTGGTCAAGGATTAAAGATTGATATCAATGTTCTATACGAGAAGCTTCATCAGTTCCCCTAGTTGCATCTAGACTTCGGCCTCGGTCATGGACAAATCCGAATTACCTCCAAATATTTAAGGAAAATTGTATAGATATATCCCCTAACCTTTTTTTTTTAAATGAAATTTGTTGAACCATTTTCTAAATCGCCTACATCTCTTAAAATCGCCATTGTGTTTGGTTTATATGTGGGATGAATGCAGTTGGTAATAAGATGAATGAACCAAACTTTGTATTTTCAAATATTCCAAATAATTAATTCGGAAACAATTATAGCGATGAGTATGAATGATACTTGGCATTTGGCAAACCGACACCTCTCGGTTTCGGTTTTAAGTAAAACAAATCCGGTTTAAGATATGCAGTATAGTAATAATATCACAAATCACATGTCCACGTAATCAAATGAGTCACCTCGACTTGACTTCCCCTATAAAATGTCCCTCTTGTTCGCAAGAGTATCACCAGTCCTATGACTCCCTCAAACATTTCTTGAAAACATTTGTAATCATATCAGAATATTAGCTCTTTTTAAAGATTAATATAAGATTTAAATTATAAAAATAAAAAAGAGAAAGGGCCAGGTCTTGTGTCGTGTGGTGTAGGGTATGAAGTTCTTGTTGGAGCTCGTCGTGCCTTGTTTTGGTTCGCAGCAGCTCCACCAATCCGCCGCAACCGCGGATGATTCCATTTCCGGCGAAACGCAGTCGCTAATGAAACAGAGAAGACGACGGAAACGCGTTAGAGTTGCGGGTCAACCTGGACAAGCGGCGGAGTGGAGACCGTCCCTCAGCGTGATCTCTGAGCACAAGCCGCCTATAAAAGAGACATCGGAAAAGGTGAAAGAGAAGAGGAAAGTACGTCGTAAAAGTGAAGGCAGCGGCGGAGAAGCATCTTCCCGATCTGGTGGCGGTCATGTTCGATTCAGCAGTAACGATTTTGGGTAAAACACACAATTCTTGAACGTTTGTTTGTTATATGAGAATGATCATTACAAAAAGTGTTTTACAAAATTAATTATCTTAAATAGGCTAACCAATTCACGTAATACTTTTGGTTTATATAATATAATGTAACATTTTCGATGGATTTTTTTATTTTTTTTAAAAAAAGCTAAAGATAAGATTACCAGATAACCATGGTAGTTAAGATGCTGTTTTGTGGATAAAGATTCGATATAGTTGGAATGTCAACATCAGCATGTTAATGTTTATTAGAGTAAACAAGAGTCCTAGATGGCAAGCTAGCCAAAATAAACTTGACGAGAAATTCTATTAATAGAACTGGCACGAGATAAAGATAAGACTATTATTTTGACGTTGTTACTTTTTTTTTTGTCGGTTTTGCAGGAGAAATGCTTTCGAACCAGTAATCCCGGCATTCTCACCGACTCCGTTCATGTTTTGAGTTTCGGTTTTCTTACTGAAGTTTATATGTATAATAATATATAAATAAATAACGTAATGGAATGATGTAGCATTAATGTATATATATGTATGTAATATTGCCATCTATATATAAAAACATATATATGTAACTCTCAAACAAAAAGAGTTTGTCTTTTAATGTACAGTTGATCCGCTTATCATATGCAGCACGTAGAGTACCTAAAATGGTTATCTTAAGAAAATATAATGTGAAGAGAAACAGGCTCGTCATACTAAAAGGTGCTCCAACCTTACATAAAAGATTCCATTCATCATTTACCAGAATAATTGGTTGAATCCATTTCTCCCCAGCAACGTCAGTTGTCAGGAAACCTTCAACACTAGCTTAAGCTCACTCGAACATTATATTTACCAAATTCGCTTCCAAAGGTTCAAAACTTGACGATATGTTTTCTCCTTTTAAGACTCTTCGTCTAAACCAAGCTGGGGTAGTTTTGTAGTAAGACAAAAAAACCTGGGATAAAGCGTAAACCCGTCAGGACTCGAATCATGTCATGAACTAAATTACCATTTTTTTGTTTGGGCGACTTATAGGCGTACTTTAGACTTCATTTAGAAAATCTGGAATTGGACTACTCGGTATCAAGCTCTCATGGGATTATTAAAGCCTCAGCCCAGAAACTCTAAGTTACCAAAATTAAAAGACTCTCTGTCTAGTCCTATTATTTTGACATAAACATCTCTCAAAACCGCTTTGTAATCGTCGAAAGAGACCCTGGCATTAGTAAAGTTCGCATCAAGCTTCTAACTACTGGTGCTGGCCAAATATCCAACAAATATGACGTTCTTTGAAAAACAATCCCTGCAAACCTAACTAGCTCTTTTTATAGTGAATTAACGTGATCAAAGAAGCCGGATCGTGCTCATGGCCATTATAGTGAGTTTAGCTTTTCTTTCACATTCAAGAGGAGCATCATAGCTTTGGATTAGTTCTACTTATTAAATTACAAAGCCCTTTATTAAAAGAAAATAGTATGTGGTCAACAACAAAAACATTTCCCTGGAAACAATCACTTTTAATAGATTACCAGATTAGCTTTTTAATTTGTAATTTATTGGACACCAGATTAGCTTGTTAGTTTGTAATTTATTGGACAATTCTTGTAAAAACCTTAATAAAGTTTTTATTATAAAAATAGCTAACAAATAAAAAATGATCAAAACAAGTTTTCATTAAAAGACAAAAGACTAAGGTTCTCACTGGTTCAAATGCAGCGGCTGCGATTGCAGAAGTTTGCGGATACGGGTGGTTGCGGTTTCTAGTGGTTTTAAGAAATTTGTAAGACTGGTACTGCGGTTAGAAATTGGTGTGTTTGCGGGATATTTATGATTGGTTAACTACCAAATGCAGTAGCAGTTAAAAGATAAATTTACAATATTTACATTTTGTATAATTATAAAAATATCAAAATAATAATATTATAATAAATATAAAATTATACTTATAAAAGTTATAGGTTTAAATTTTAAAAATTATTGAAAATATTTTTATTTTTTATAATATTAATTAAAATATAATAGATAAATTTTAGTATTTTTATGATTCCCATTTTTTTATAAATATTGAATATTTTTATTTTTGTATTTATATTGTTTTCAAGAAAAATTAAAAAATCATCTTCCCGCAATCGCAAACGCTAGTTGAAACCAACTTTTGAATTTAAAAGGTTTAAAGTAGTTTGAAGCGGTTCATAGCAGTTTGAATGACTGTTGCAAAACACCAATAATCGCAACCAACCGCAAAAGCTACATTTGCGGGTGGTAGCGGAGAAAACAGTCATGTCCTAAGTTGATAAACAATATATTTATATACATAAACATTTTTACATAGTTTTAAATTAAATTTTATTTTATAAATTTTAAATTTTGAATCCTAAATTATTTTTGACCTTAAATTCTAATTCTTAAACCCTAAACTTCATCCCCTCTCCCAAAAAAAATTAAGCCATAATTGTTAACCAATTAACCTTAGAGATATATGTATGTTTTAAATCTTTTATTGAGAATTATTTTGTTTTCGTTTTCAAAATTATAAATTATTTTCATGATGAAAAATTTAAAGGTTATTTATACTATTATTTTTGGAGTGATTTTTTATATTCGAACTCTCACATTAAAAATTAAAGCGGTTAAAGATTTAAAGTCAGTGATACCCTTAATGAGTTTTTATATATAATTTATTATATAATTAAAAATAAACATATATTAATAATATTATATTTATATTTTATACCAGATTATAGAATACTATTATGATAAAATTGTCAAAATAAAAACATATTTCTTTTATAAAGAAGACAATTCTTATATATATTGTGTTGTTATCGGAAATGATATTTTGTATTATATTTTGTTTTTAAAAATAATATAACACAATTTAAAATTAATATTAATCAATAATAAATTTTATAAAAATAATTTCTATAATATATCTAATATGTGAGTGTTTTAAAAAATTTAATGCAATAATAAGTACATATATTTTTGATGAATTTTTTTCATATATTATCATGATGGTTTTTGAATAAAATATAAACTAATAAATATTCATAAAACAATTATGTCCAAGACAAAACACTAGCCATAAAGTATTTCTCGAAGTTATTTACATTCTGATATACATGTCACAATTTTCATCAGAAAAGTTGGTCCAAAGTATGTTCAATGATTTTTTTTAATGTGGCCGAATTATAGGCTGTTGCAAATCACTGAAGCCCAATAAATGTCCAGTGTTATTTCTGAATATGTGCTCATGTGCCTCATTGGACGTCAATCTGATCTTTTTTTTTGTGCACACGTCAATCTGATAAAATGTAATGAATCATGATTTACATGTAGTTCCAAGAAAATGATTGTACCTTAATTAACTCAAGTTCTTAAAGCCGTCCCTGATGTATATTATTAGTACACTACCAAGGCGTTAAGCGTTGTTTTGCATCTTTAGTCATACTAGTTGTATACTCCCCGCGCAAGCGCGGAGCTGAGATCATTGTGTTTGCAATATTTTCTTGATTGTTGGTTTAGTGAATTCTTCTAATAACACCAAATAATAATGAAATTAAGAGAAAGTAGTAAAAGTATAAAGTGAAAATATTGTATATATAATGTGTTAAATGTTATTTATATGCGAAGTAAGGTTTATAGGAATAGTTAGGCTATAATATAGTTTTTAGTGTGTAAAAGTAGGTGTCTATTTTTTTTTCTGTAAATAGTTTTTATATCGTAGGTCAAACTTGATATAATTCTATATTTATAGTATTTATATTTGTATTAAACGATTTATCAATTTGAAAATAACCTTAATTAAGTTAATATTCGTTGTTTAAGTTTCATTAGATAGGTTTTTATATATGGTTTTTTGTAAGTTTGGGTTTTATTCATAAATGATGTGCATTTTTATCTACGGCGTCATCGACTGTCGGAATCCATTCGCCGGAGTCAGGAGTTGATGGTGAGGAATGTTTTCAATCAAATTATAGTAGTTATTAAAATGTAAGAGAAATTACATATTCATTTAATAAATAACGAAAATACTTAATATTTGTTGTTTATTTTATTTTATTTCACATACAATTTTTTTGAAAATATATTAGGAATGTGTTAAATGTTATTTATATACGAAATAAGGTTTATAGTAATAGTTAGACTATAATATAGTTTTTAGTGTGTAAACCTAGGTGTTTTTTTTGCTGTAAATAATTTTTTTATATTGTAGGTCAAAACTTGATATAATTCTATATTTATAGTAGTTATATTTGTATTAAACGATTTATCAATTTGAAAATAACCTTAATTAAGTTAATATGCGTTGTTTAAGTTTCATTAGATAGATTTTTATATATGGTTTTTTGTAAGTTTGAGTTTTGTTCATAAATGATGTGGCATTTTTATCCACGGCGTCATCGACTGTGGGAATCCATTCGCCGGGGTCTGGAATCGGTGGTGAGGAATGTTTTCAATGAAATTATAGTAGTTATTAAAATGTAAGAGAAATTACATATACATTTAATAAATAACAAAAAAATAATTAAACTTTGTTTTTATTTTATTTTATCTCACATGCAATTTTTTTTTGAAAATATATATTAGGAAATCTGTGCAAGGATTAAATTTTTGAGATCTTAATCTATATTATTCAAGCTTCATTAAGCCATCCACGTAGGCAGCCGCGTCTTTCTTTTTTTTTGGTATGTTCGTTTTTGGATCAATTTTTATTATTTTTGGGTTGAGCTATATTATAATAGGATAGTTTTCAGGTTCTTTAAGCCATCCGCGTATGCAACCGCGTGAGACTTGCTTTCTTTTGTTTTTTTATTGTTCGTTTTGGATCGATTTTTAACTATTTTTGGGTTTGAACTTGTTAAAATTTAGGGTTTATCCAACTATTTTGATCTTTAAAACAATAAGCCCAAAAAAAAAAACATAAAAACTTTATAAACAAAAAGCCCATATGATAATAACCAAATTAAAAAATCAAAAATACATGATAGCTGCGTGGTTTGAACCCACGATCTTTCATACTTAATTGGACACCTTATACCACTTGGATAAATTGTATTTCATTGTTCATAATCATCTTACCAAGACTATGTGTTTTAAACAAATACCTATGGGCCCTACAAAACTGCTGACGTGGCGCGTTGTGGAGCCTAGAAACTCTTCTATTATAATATAGATTCTCACATGTAGTCTTATATCATTTTCTTTGTATATCCATTAGACTCCAGATTTGGGTGTACATATATAAATGTTTAGATATGCATATACCACTATGCGAATATATATGGAGACATAAGAACATGGGCCGGGCTGTACAGTGCACGTGGGGAAGACATAATCATGCGACCATGGAACAAGTAAACTCTGAACTGTAGGAATATTTGCTCTCAAGTTATCAAAGTCATCTCATCATCCCAAATTTAACTCTGAGTTTTCTTCTCTTCACATACATCTTCGTTTATTGGCTAAGATCCAATCATTTATTTACCATTTAAATCTGCTTGAATTTGATAGTGACAAATGTTTGGTCTAAGATAGTTTTCATATCTAATTCAGAGAATTTAAAAATGGGAAAATGTTGAAAAATCCTTAATTTTCTGAATTTGACCATATAATCCTTTAACTTTCGAAATGACC